CATTGAAGATTTTCTCCAGTAAAGATACTACATCTCGAACAGTAGCTGCAATTTGAGTCACCATGTGATTACATTTACATTAGTCCACAGTCACTCTTCAAGATCATTCAACTGCACAGGACAAACAGCTGAGTTAAACGGGGATGTGACAAGTGTCACTACCTCCACCTTGAAGCCTTTGATGTTGGCACTAATTTCTACAGTTACACCAGTGGTACAGCACTGCTTATGATTTACTATCTTGGTAGGGATGGGAAGTTCCAGAGACTTCTACTAGGCCCTTACTACCATAAAGGCCCTCACTCCATGAATCAGAGAGCCAATGTAGAAATTTTGTCTGTTATCAAGTATGTCTATTCCAATCCTATGTTCAGTAACTTGGGAAAATAACCACAGAGTGTATCCACAGAACAGGTGGGCCCAGAGCCAATCAGACTTAAGTCACCATCTATCACCTGACCACCATAATCCCCCATTTTGAAGAGGGCCTACAGTGTTGTTTTGAGTCCCTAGGAATTAGCATCAATTCAGAGCCAATGTTTAGTAATCTCAAAAGGTCTGGATATTTCCTTTTTTCCAGTGCATAGTCACTCTAATAAGTAGCCACATGTCCCTTGGGTAAGGCTTGGAGGAAGATTCACTTGTATTATTTGCAGCAGTGCTGCAGAGTTCATCCTCAGGGGGACCTGCTCCCTTCAATCAAGGTGCTCTGGGTCTGTGAATTTACTTAGTCTGGAAACTGGATGAGAGGTCTTGACTCTTCATTGTGGTGACTCAAATCAGGTTTTTGGCAACTAGACTTGGACCTTTTTCTGTTATATAGATCAAGTAATGCTTTATCAGGCTGCCCATCAATTTTGTTCCTAGAGATACCACAATTAATTAGTCATTGCCAAACAACCCTGTGGGCAAAGGCTTTCTGATTACCAGTACCTCTCTGCTGTGCTCCATGGCAATCGTGTCCACCTTCGCGTTGGTAGTTAGGTGCTGCCACATGTCCTCTGGCACTCCATGAGCCCATCATCCCCACCAGGTATTCCCATTCTAAGTTGCAGGGTCCTATTCTTTCCCAAGGAACCCTAACTTGCACATGAGAAACTTGGCATGACTATGAATTCATGTGTAATAGTGCTATACTCCACCTTCCTTGGTCTAACACGCTTAGAATCCATTCCCATACATATCCCCTGGGTTTCTGTCAATATATATCAGTAAAGTCTTGTAATTCTTTTGGAGTGTAAGCTATTTCCTTCGAGTTATAGTTATCTGAGTTATCTATCAACCTGGGATCTGCTGAGATTTGACCCTAGTGATGGATCCAGGGACAAAAGGGGTGATTGCAGTCGGTCTTGAGAATGAGCATCCCTTTTCAAGGCATCTGCCTCAGATGAAGTTATTATCACAGGGTTTTCAGGAAAAGGAAGACTAATCTCAGACATAGGAGGGCAGGCTAATTCCACTGGCAAGAGAGGCTTACAGTGACTTGGGGGTTCAAGAATGTCAATTACATAAATCTGAGTCCAACTAGGTATTCCCATTCTAAGTTGCAGGGTCTTATTCTTTCCCAAGGAACCCTAACTTGCACACGAGAAACTTGGCATGACTATGAATTCATGTGTAATACTGACTGAAACATCATTAAAACCAAGAATAGAAAAACGGGGCCACATTATTATTACTACTACTACAAAACATCACACTTGCCACTCTATCTGTACAATAAGCCACAAAATGGAAATAGACATATAAATAATGAAAGGGAAAATATAAAATTGTTATTATCTACAGTCAATAAGATTTTCTACCTAGAATATCCAAATGAATCAACTAAAAAACCATTAAAACTAATATGAGAGGACATAAGGGATCTAGAACAATATTACAAAAATGAATAGAATTTCCATATACCATGCACTTAGAGACATGTCCACTGACAGAAGGATGGTTACCTAAATTTTGGTATAACCCCCTCATGGCATGTTATATAGCAATTGTACTGCCTTAGAAAACATTAAAGACAGGGACTTCCCTGGTGGTACAGTGGTTAAGAATCTGCCTGCCGGGCTTCCCTGGTGGCACAGTGGTTGGGGGTCCGCCTGCCGATGCAGGGGACTCGGGTTTGTGCCCCGGTCTGGGAGGATCCCGCATGCCGCGGAGCGGCTGGGCCCGTGGGCCATGGCCTCTGCGCCTGCGTGTCCGGAACCTGTGCTCCGTGGCAGGAGAGGCCACGGCAGTGAGAGGCCCGCGTACCGCAAAAAAAAAAAAAAAAAAGGGATCTGCCTGCCAATGCAAGGGACACAGGTTCAAGCCCTGGCTGGGGAAGATCCCACCTGCCGCAGAGCAACTAAGCCCGTGCGCCACAACTACTAAGCCTGATCTCTAGAGCCTGCGAGCCACAACTACTGAGCCCACGTGCCACAACTACTGAAGCCCACATGCCTAGAGCTTGTGCTCCACAACAAGAGAAGCCACCGCAATGAGAAGCCCGTGCACCGCAACGAAGAGTAGCCCCCGCTCGCCATAACTAGAGAAAGCCCATGCGCAGCAATGAAGACCCAACACAGCCAAAAATAAATCTATTTTTTAAAAAAAGAAAACATTAAAGACAAAGTAAATTCTTTTAAAAAAACCGAGTCTGGAAAAACATATATAGTATGATCCCATTTATGTCAAAAACAAATATAAATAAATACTAAAAACAAGTATTTAGGTACATACACAAATATGTACATGAAAGGAAAAGAATATGGAAGAAATCTTTGGAAAGGGAAGTGATTAAGAAAGCTTTCGCTTTTTGAAAATCTATGTATTTCTGTACTGTTTCCAATTTTTCATTAAAAATATTTGTGTATCACTTGTGTTATTAGGCCGAAGATGTGAGGAACACTAACTTCATGCATCCAACATCCATTTGTCCACCCACTCATCTGATCGTCATCAAATACCTGCTATACTTCTAACATTTGAAACAGGTAACATGATACATAATCCTGAAATTACAGGGGTACAGGTTCTAATAGCCTACTGATATATTTTTCAGTAAAGTCCTGTGAGATAGCATCTAGAAATTATTTTCTTTAACCACAGATTTAGAATTATTTGCTGAAAATTCATCCAGTTTCTCAAAGGCAGGCTATATCATGAGTAAGCTGGAAATTTTTTCCTTATTCATCCAACAGGGATATTTTGAAAGGTTCCATTCAGCTTGGTTTGTTATTAGTATTGGAAATACTAATTAAAACCATTCAGTCATATATAATTCAGACAAGAAGAAATGAAATAAGTAAATAAATACATGGAAAAATGGTCAATTCTATTAGTAAGCAAAAAATGCAAAATAAGACAATTCATTAAATTAGTAGACTTTTAAAAATATCTAAAACATTGCAGTACACTGTGGGACAGGACCAAAGATGGATGGAGTGATAGAATTGAGGAATGTTAAGCCCTCTGTCATAAAGCAGACCAGTGCCTTTGTAGAAGGAGTGAAAATGCGCATTTATAAGCCCCTAATGGATCGTCCTAAATGCCAAGGATTAGAATCCCGGATCCAGCATTTTGTATGTAGGGGATGCACGGAGCACACACATTTATTCCCTGAGGAAGAAACAAAAGCCAAAAGGGACTGTAATGACACACTAGAGGAAGAAAATACTATTTTGGAGAAACCAACAAAGACAGTTTGTGTTGATACAGAAATTAAAAGCATCATTTAACCACAGAAAACTCACCAAGATCTAGGAGGCAACAAAAGACTATTAGGCTAAAGAAGTTCTTGCTTGAATAAGAAAGAATTTAAACATTCTTTCATTCCTGTCCAAAAGAATTAGAGATGGAAGAAGCAAAAAGCAATTTTAAAATGGACATATATTTTCATACACCTGGAAAAATGTGCCTTTTGTTCAAAATTATTAAAAACCCAACCTCTGCAAGTAAAAAAAAAAAAAAAAAAAATCGAAAACGGCTAGTTCTATTGAGGATACCTTGAAATTAGTGCTTGCATAAATTGCTGATATCAGTGTAAAACAGAAAGTACTAGCATTATGTATCAAAAGTCACAAAATAACAGACTCTCTGAATTAATAATCTCATGCTTGAGATTTACTTTTAGTAAGTAATTGCAATGAATAAAACAGTTATTTGGGCAAAGCTTTCATTACTGAATTATTTATAATAATGAAACTTTGGAAATAATCTAAATATCCAAAACAAAAGAGTAACAAATTATGGAATAACCATTCAATGGAACATTATAAAACCACTTAAAATTATTTTATGAAGAGACTGCAATAAAATGGAAAAATGAGTAAAAAACCAACTGGCAAATTTTTAAAAATTAATTAATTTATTTTTGGCTGTGTTGGGTCTTCATTGCTACATGCAGGCTTTCTCTAGTTGTGGTGAGTGGGGGCTACTCTTCATTGCGGTGCACAGGCTTCTCATTTCAGTGGCTTCTCTTGTTGCGGAGCATGGGCTGTAGGCGTGCGGGCTTCAGTGGTTGTGGCATGTGGGTTCAGTAGTTGTGGTGCATGGGCTTAGTTGCTCCATGGCACGTAGGATCTTCCCAGACCAGGGCTTGAACCCGTGTCCCCTGCATTGGCAGGCGGACTCTTAACCACTGTGCCACCAGGGAAGTCCCCAATTGGCAATTTTTAAAAAATCTTCCCTCAACTAAGAATATGTTATTTTTATAATTTTAAGAAATCAGGAAATTTTAGTTTTAAATTATGACTATGAAGCAATATAGGAACAAGAAAAGTTTCTTATATAATGCCAAATGATAAAGGTATAAGACAAAATTTTACCTGTACTCAAATTACAGCTTTATAAAATATTTATCCAGATGGATAACTTTTAAAGAAAAGTGGGCTATACAGCTCATTTATTAGGCTGGTAGAATCATGGTTGATTTTTCGTTCCTTAAATTTTTTTTGCTGTCCTTGGTATTTTATAAGCAGGACACAAACATGTCAGAGGATAAGAAAGTTTTGGGGACCCACCTGCTGCTCCTTTCTAAGGAATATTTCAATCTCTGCATGAATCCGGTTCTCTTCTTCAGTTTTCAGCCTTAGTTTCTGTGAGAACAACAAGCCAAAGTCAGGAATTCTTCCCAATGGGGCTGAAAGTGAGTTCTCAAGATCAGGGGTGTAGCTGTGACAGTAGTACAGGTCTTCTCTACCAGCTGGGATCCTAAGATTCTGAGATATTGCTCCAGAGCAGCAATTCCGTTCCCTTCAACTCAATTCATGTTCACAACATGGCTGAGCCATGTCTGGCACTGTGCTAGACACAGGCAGCTGCCCAGAGCAAAAGGGCCATAATCCTGTGGCCTGGAAACTGGTATCCATTTAAGGAGAGAAACAATGCTTCAAGGGCACAAGCTTCTCAGGCCTACAGAAGGAAATTCCAGAGTGCAAGAAAAAAGTTTGTTGTCATAGTCTTAAGCCACACTTGGGAAGTAAGCTTTCAAATAAGTCAGAGAAAGGAGTCGCCTCCTGCGCACAGGTGATACGCTCTACTGATGTTTGCTCCTTCTCACCGACCACTTGTTCTTTTAGCCATTTAGTCTTCCTCCTCTAATGAGGGTCTACCCTTGTTTCTTTCTCCTGACATTTTTCACTGTGACTTCTCATTTCTATAAATGTAGGTTTGCATGAAGTTCAGCCCTCTAGATTTTGTATTTCTTAATGGAGGGATGAAAGATACTGGTTGAGTGAGAAAAGTAGCAGCAAAAACCTGCAGTTGCTGAACATCTTGTTTTGCCCTCTCCCTATAATTACCAGGAGAAATGGCAAGTGGTTTTATAAAGTAAGGATAAAGTGACCAAGAGAAGAAAGTACAACCAATTTTCAAAGTCATTACAAAAAACCAGGAGATGTAAGCTACAGCCCATCAGAATCTCTGCCTGCAAAAAAGCAAGTCCTCATTCTTTTTTTGTTTTTAACCTCAAATGTTAGGGTTGCTGGAGAGAGAGAGCAAAGATTGGGAAAGTCTCCCTCGCTCTCCTCCTTTGTCAGCTGAGGCAAATCAGGAGCGACAGCTTGACTGCCAGCTACCTGATTCATTCCTAATTAACAGTGATTACCTCAATCTCTTCCAGCAAGAGCTCCTCTGTTTTGCTACATTTTTTCTGGGTCTGGGAAATCTGCAGCTCAGCGTTTCTCTTCATATAGCGATTCTCCATGTTGGTTTTTGCCTTCATCTCTTGCAACTGGTCCTTGAGGTGAGCAATATATTCATGCCGACTCTGTAAAGGTAAGACCAGGTTTCTAAATTAAAATACATTCTACCTCCATTCAGCTCAGTCAGTGGCTTAAGCTTACCTTTTGTTCTTTTTTTTTATATATAATTTAAGATTATTGTATCTCCTTACAAGAGGAATGTTTTAACAAATTTTACATGTGTCAATCAACCCTTGTTCAAATTGGGCACACATCAAATCTAGCATTATGGGAGTTTTATTTGGAAGTGAACTTTTAACTATCAATACAAATGCCAAGATACTACACAAAACATCCACAGGAACTTTTTTCATCTTTTTTTGAATTGTTCACAAACATTTCCTACATAATCCAACATACAACAGAGAAATGGTACATTCTTTCTTTCAATTTGCATACAATGGAAAAACAAAAGTTTAACTAATAGACACTACCAAGCTGACAGTTTAAGTCTATAAGTGAGAAATTATCTAATAAAAAATAATCAGAATTTATTTAGCATCAGTCACTTATATAACCAAGTATTATTCTGATTAATAAAACTTGCCACCATTAGGCTTCTGGTATATTCTTATACCAACTACTCCATCTGTTGTACTGCTTCCCACCTTGGTTCTTCACAACTACAAACAGAAAATCGTTGCAAAGTAGGGGCAAGCATTTGCAAAAACAAAGAAAAATCTCCAGCTTATTAGAAGCATGAATGTGTGGTGGAATTTCCTCCCAAGCAATGGACTTTCAAATCACTTAAGAAATCACCAGAACTGAATGTGTCAAGATATTTGCCTAAGTCCAAGAAGAGATGCATTTATTTATATCCAAAAGAGGAGTGAAAATTAAAATTAGTGTTTAGTTTGGGGGCAGGTTGGGGGAACTCAGCCATTTAAAAAATGACCATCTTAAAAAAAAATGACCACCGGGCTTCCCTGGTGGCGCAGTGGTTGAGAGTCCGCCTGCCGATGCAGGGGACGCGGGTTCGTGCCCCGGTCCGGGAAGATCCCACATGCCGCGGAGCGGCTAGGCCCGTGAGCTATGGCAACTGAGCCTGCGCCTCCGGAGCCTGTGCTCCGCAACGGGAGCGGCCACAACAGTGAGGGGCCCGCGTACCGCAAAAAAAAAAAAAAAAGTCACTCACTGTGCTGCTGTTTCAAAATTTCAATGTTCGTTTTTGCACACCCTCCCCCAACCCCCAAGCCTGTTTGTAAGGAACTAAAACATTACATCTGGTGAACAGCAAAGATTTCACTACACCTCAAATGCAGAACACCTATGAAGCAGAGGAATGTTGGCTTTTTAAACAGTAGCAGATAAAAAAAAAAAAAAAAAAGATGCAGGACCCCTTCAGTTCTTCACTAGACTTAGAAAAACTTTCCAGAATGCTGCTTCACACTGTCCTGCAGCAAATCCTGAGCATTCTGTATCTGGTCCCGTGTTCCTGTAATGGTAATGATCCGATCTTCGGACCCTTCTAAAGGCTCATCAATTTTGATCGAAGCTCCTGACTCATGATGGATTTGTTTAATCCGCTGACCACCTTTGCCAATAATAGATCCAGCCAGATCTTTAGGAATAGTTACTTGTGTAGTAATAATAGGTCCACCAAGATCACCGTATGAGCCACGACCCCCTGCATAGGAATAATCATATCCAGAGCCACCCTGTGGTTCATAAGCCATCTGCCACTCTGACGGGCTCCATGTATCTACTGCAGAGTCCCAGATTTCATCAGCACTGAAACTAACCACGCCATCATAACAGTCTCCAGCTCTCCCTCTTCTGTCATAGGCCATTAGCTCTCCTCCTCTAGGTGGTGGTGGTGGAGGAAGAGGAAGATTCCGAGCTCTGCCACCACCCGGGCCCCCTCGTCCAGGAGGAGGTGGAGGAGGTCCTCGACGAGGGCTCATATCATCATAATCCCTTCTGGATGGAGGCATGGGACACCCACCCCGACCAGGGGGCATTCTGTCCAAACCACCTCTTCCCGGCATGGGAAATCCCACGGGACGTCCACGGCGGTCATCAAATATCATTGTAAAACCACCATGATCATAGGTTTCATCGTAAAAATTGGGATCATAAGGCTGAGCATGTCCTTTGATGGGAGACTCTGATATAAGATCAAGGATGATCTTTATGCACTCTACAACCCTATCAGGTTTTCCTCTGTCAGAGTGGATTGAGGACAACATTCCTGGAAAAGCTTGATTGTTGTCTGAGTGTTCTCTCAAAGTTCTTTGATTTTAGCACCTTTGACCCCAATAATTCCTCCAGCCAGACTCTGATGAATCAAGAGTCTCAACTCGCCGTCAAAGTCGCTTCCTTTATAGTGTTGGTAATTTAAGCATTCCACAGCATCAGATTCGAGTGGGAGCTGGCTGGTTGCAGTGGGTGATGGCAACTGCAGGCCCTCTTCCAAGATAGGGATGATTTTCTTCAGAATTTCTCCAATTGTTTCAGTACCAGCACTGTTACTCAATATGCACTCGGGGCCACTGCTGTCTGGGACTGAAACACTGGCATTGTAGTCTGTACGGAGAGCCTTAATATTCTTGCCTCCTTTTCCAATCACTGCCCCAGCATTCTTGCTCTGAAGCAGAAGGCGTAATTCAACCATCTCATCAGTGTTTCTAGATCTTTTAAAAGCTTGTTCGTCTTCCATATCTTCAGCAGGGCGTTTACCTAATTCACCATTGGTTTTGGTGTTGGGAAAGTTTCCTCTGGCTGTTCAATTTCCATTTTCTTGTATTAAAGGGGCACACCAATCAGTTATTAAATATATCTTTGCAGGGCAGAACTGAAGTGTTCTGGGCGGGACCAATTGACACCCTTGTGCTGCAGTAGCAGGGCAAGGCTACCGGCCCTATGCTGCTGTGCAGCCTCAGCCGGTCACAGCTAGACAGAGAACCTACCTTTTGTTCTTATATTTCAACAAGGAACTGGATCTATTTTTCTGCTATCACACTATGGGAAATTTACCCAATAATCATGGATGGTATAAATGAAAATGAAAGATAAGTAGTTCTCAGCATCAGGACTGTGAGATTCTTTCCTAGGCACACTATTTGGGTACCCTGTATCCACACAAATTTCCCATTACTATCTCATTTTGGTGGAAAGAGCACTGAACTAAATGATCAAAAGACCTAACTTCCCACCCAAGCCCCACCAGCTGTGTGAATTTGGCCACATCAGTTAAACTCTCTAAGTCTTACCTTCTTTAAAATAGAAACATTAATATCTACCCTGCCTGCAATATCTTAGCAAGTAATTATAAGGATTAATTGACAATATGTGTGAAAACTCTTCACAGGTTCCAAAGTGCTTGGCAATTTCTTTTCTTTCTTTAATTGAGTTAACATTGGTTTATAATATTATGTAAGTTTCATGCGTACATTATATTTCAACTTCTGTATACATTACAATGTGCTCACCACCAAAAGTTTAGTTTCCATCTGTCACCATACAGTTGACCCCCTTTACCCATTTCCCACCCCTAATCCTTTCCCCTTCTGGTAACCACTACTCTGTTCTACATGTTTGTTTTTGTTTGGTTTGTTCATCTATTTTTGTTTTGTTTGTTTGTTTTAGATTCCACATGAGTGAAATTATATGTTATTTATCTTTCTCTGTCTGACTTATTTCACTTAGGATGATAATCTCAGTGTCCATCCATGTTGTCACAAATAGCAAGACTTCATCCTTTTATGGCTGAGTAATATTCCATTGTATATATACTGTGTATATATACGTACCACATCTTCTTTATCCATTCATCTGTCAGTGGGCACTTAGGTTGTTTTCTTATCTTGGCTATTGTGGACAATGCTGCAATGAACATAGGGGTACGTATATCTTTCTGAATTAGTGTTTTCATGTTCTTTGGATAAATACCCAGAAGTGGAATAAATGAATGATATGGTAGTTTTATTCTTAATTCTTTGAGGAATCTCCATACTGTTTTCCATAGTGACTGCACCAATTTACTTTCCCACCAACAGTACACGAGGGTTCCCTTTTCTCCACATCCTTGCCAACACTTGTAATATCAGGCCTTTTTGATAATAAGTGCTTGGCAATTTAATGGCCTTGGTATTCATTTTTAAAATAGTTATTATGTATCAGGCATTGGACTAGACTCTAGGTAAATAGTAAAGGCCTAAATAGACATGGTCCTTGCCCTCATAGAGCTTACAATCTAGTGGGAAAGATGTAATTAAAAGGAAACTTTTAGTTTTAAACTTTTTAAAATGTGCAATATGCTATGAAAGAAAAGGTTATGAGAGAAAATAACAAGAGAGACCTATGTTAGATTGGATAGTCCAAGAAAGGATTCTCTGAGAAAGGAATGTTTACTCTGACACCTGAAGGGTAAGAAAAGTGGGTTGCGCTTCCCTGGTGGTGCAGTGGATAAGAATCTGCCTGACAATGCAGGGGACACGGGTTTGAGCCCTGGTCGAGGAAGATCCCACATGCTGCGGAACAACTAAGTCCGTGTGCCACAACTACTGAAGCCCACGCACCTAGAGCCTGTACTCGGCAACAAAAGAGGCCACTACAATGAGAAGCCCACACACCGCAATGAAGAGTAGCCCCCGCCCCCGCCCTGCTCTCCGCGCCCCTCCCGGGCGTCGGGGCCGTCGGCCTGCGGCCCTCAGTGCGTCCGCGCGTGCGCCCGAGGGAGGCCCCGCGTCCGCCGCTCGCGGCTCGGCGCGCGCCCCGCGACACGGAGGCCGAGCGGGGGCAGGGGGCTGCCCGCCATGACCCCCTGGAGCGCGGCGTGAGGGGACCGAGGTGAGCGCTGGCAGGGGCGCGGCGGGCGGGCGCGCACGGGCGTCTCCGCGGCCTTTGTGTGTCTGCTCCCGGCCGGCCTGGGCCGCCCCCGGCTCTCCGTCTCTCCCGCGTCTGCCTGTGTCTGTGTGTCGGCGCCGCTGCCTCCCGCGGGCCTACCTTCTGCTCCTGTCCGTGTCTCTTTCGGCGTTTTTGCAAAGCATTTGTCACCGTATGTCTGTCCCAGTCTTGTTCTGCC